GCTGCTGTCCACCGCCTTCGTGTCTTGGCCCTTGTCGGTTGACGGACTGCTGCTCGGCTGGCTGCTGCTTGTGGCTTCTGTGGCACTCGTGGAAGTAGAGGTGGGAGATGTCTGCGATTGCACGGCATCACTTTGATCGACTGCAGCCTGAGGAGTACTCTCAACAGGCTCCACATTGGGGTGATCGTTAGCAGACCTCTCAGCGTCAGGTGAGGGTGGTGCAGTTGATGTGGTAGCAGCATTCTTGGCTTCATCCTTTGCACCGAGTGGGCTGTCAAGTTTTGGATTTACTTCTGGTGCCTGGGTATTTTTGGTTTGGAGTACATCTTTCTCTCGCTGTCCAGGCTGAGTGCTCCTGTCCTTGTCCAGCTGTTTGCAATCCATATTTTTTCCTTCAAGCTTTCCATTTTTGCACTCACCATCTGCGCTGGCAGCGTGAACAGGTTCATCATTTCCTTCTGATTGGGTGTCCTCTCTTAGCCCTTTATCACTTTGGGTGATTTTTTTGCCACCGCTTTTGTCCAACGTGCCGCCGCTATCAAGTCGTTCCCCAGGTTCATTGATTTGCACTTGTGCTTTTGGCGTAGCACGATTGGACGAACACTCCATACGGCCCCCGCCTTCAGCAGGGCAGTCCGCAAGAGACTTGCCATCCACTCCAACAATACCTTTCTCAAGGGCGGTGTCTTTAGCCCCTGGTATCCCTCCTGCGCCAGGAGTACCAGGTGCACCAGCAGGTCCTCCAGCTCCTGTCTGCACACCGTTCACAATGCCACCCCCACCACCAGAAGTGGCTCCCAAATTAGATTGCGATTGCGTGTGGTGCCCAGGCTTCAAGGATGAAGGCGTGCACGTAGAATTGCCCAAAGCTTCCTCGCAGGCCTCCTTGTTCATAGAAGTTTGTTCACCACTTCTAGAATCGTCTTTTTGCGGAATTAATTCCTCGTTTTGCTGGCAATCCTCCGCGACACTGTCCACACCCCTGTGGAGCGGGGCGCAAACTTTCTGCCCGACCGCGGTATGATCCTTCAGCTCGCCATCACCTCCGGTGCCCACCGCTTCCGCACACGGTGGTTTCTTCGTGCCATCCCCCGGACAAGTGGCATTAGTACCCAAAGCTCCATCTAAACCGGGACTAACAGCAGCACCAGGTAAAGGGCCTTGTGAAGACGGACATTGCGTAGTTTCATCGCTNACCCAAAGCTCCATCTAAACCGGGACTAACAGCAGCACCAGGTAAAGGGCCTTGTGAAGACGGACATTGCGTAGTTTCATCGCTGATGCAATTGCTCGCATCTTTCACTTCAGCTGCAGCACACCCGCAGGCGCACCCCACGCAGAGCGCATACACAAACAACACACAGCGCATCACTAACATCGCCAGTTGTGACCTTGCAGAAAGGAGAGAGACAAAAACAGACAGCGAGGCATAGGAAAGCCACCACACCACTCACCTCACCAACTCCGTGCCAAAACACCACCAGCACAGCAACGAGAATCCACCCAATCAAACACCCAGCTACGAGAAGCCCAAGCATGACGGCGGTGACGTCTTGTTCCCGCAGGAGCGCACCCAAACAGTCAAACACACAATGGAAGTGCCTGCCACCAAGTGTGTCCCTGCCCCACACCCAACACACAGCTGCAGGCATCACACAACAAGCCCATCAAGCACCGCAGAACCATTCACACACACACAC